TGAGCGTGAACAAAGAAATACATATTATTAGACTATAAAACTAACTTTATTTCTCCAAAAATCGGATTTTACAAATACACAAAAGACTGTGCCACCTAAAGGCGGGATAATCCTTGCTCGTACTTTTCATCTCCAATGTCTGGGTAGACGTCTTTGTGAAGTACCTTATTTTTAAATATAACTACAATTTTCGTGAGGCTGTTACCTATCAAACCTAATGAGATACTGACTTTACCCTGACAAGAGAAGTAATGGTTTCTTTGTATCGGTGGCAGTATAGCTTAGTTTTCCCATCGCTCGAGCAACATATATTTTATGAATAGCTTTATCATCGATGATCACAAAGATATATATGATATATTTCAGATTAGCAGATAAGTAACCGTAGCAGTCCCTGACCGAATTTTTTAAAACTTGTCAAACTTTGAATTGTGACGGGTGTAACATGTGACGGTAGTGACCAACATAAACCTTTTTTCGAAAACAAAAGCATATAAATACTCAAAAGCAATTCGCACATATTTGCCTGTGTCATAGCGTTACTTTCGTCAGTTTTTTACATGTTTATAGTTTACACATCTTGGAGTGTTTTCTTTTAAAAAATAATTATTATGTGTATTTTGTGACGGGCGTGACAGTAAATATGCTTTGCTTAAATATATAATAAAATATCAGCACTTGCCCGAAAAACTTGAAAATTACGCTGTTACAATGCAGATGAATTTTTCTCTCCACCGACCGTTTAAACCAGAGGTTCCCAAACTTGCTTTTCTCGTAGACCCCTTTCAGAACTGTACTGGTTTCAGTGGACTCCCCGCTGCCCTTTCTAACATATACCCAAAGCTCATCAAAAAAATGTGAAAATTAGATCTAACGATGAAAATTTGCATCGAGGGTGAGTTCCAAAACTAAATTCGGAAATGCAATAATATAAATGAAATATTTTCTTGCGTTCTATTTATTAAAATAATGTGACCACACACTTGCAAGTTTTAAAAAAGCAGAGCTCGTAAAGCCATCAAAGTTCTATCTTGCCCTGAGGAGTTATATTTTTTAAAAGCACTCCATAATCTCCTCACATGCTTGGCTCGCTCCTTAATTTGCATGTGACGTATTTGTAAAATAGTGTATTTGTGTTGGAGGTATCATTTTTTATTGTATCTCTCCGAGTTTTAAAGTGATGCGAAAAATATTCATAACTTACATTTTTAAAACACAAAACTTAAAACAACAAAACCACAAAGCTTTTTATGCCAAATTCAGAAAATGAAAAAAAAGAGAAAATACCGAATCTAGAAAAATCGATGATAAACAAGCAAGCAAACAAGAAGCATAAAAAGTGTTTCACAGTCTCATCCTCTTCTAGGCAGGATGGGCAAATGGAGTTGTCATTTGCCACGTGAAGTGACCATTCAGCAGTCCAACAAGTTGTCTACAGTCCCGTCTTCTCAGTAAGTGTAAACAACTTGCTAGACCTCTGATATTGAAGGCAACATGAGTTTTTCCCGTCTGCATCCTCTCGATGGGTCTCAGTCGTTGCTGATCGAAGTTTTCACCCAGTTTCTGATGGTGGCTTCGATGGTCGAAGTGGGGAGTGCTATAACAGGTTGGCCCCCAGAGTAAAGCGAGCTGGTTATGTTTGCCAACATAATTTAGTCGAGACTTGCATTGCCGAACTAGTTTGGAAGTACTTAGATAGAGGGCTGGCCCATACCTTGTGTGCTTGTCTGTCACTGCAGACACGTAAACTCCTTCCCCTCCACTATTTTCCACCACGTAGTCTATGGCTTTGAGGACTGCAAATACTTCAGCTGGAAGACCGAAGCATATTCCATAAGAGAAAAGTGAAGTTTATCCCCATTAACGTCGAAAAAGATCCCAGATCCTGGCCCAGAGTCAGTGTGTGAGTTCGGGCTCAGTGCTGGAATTAAACCAGCATTCTCCCTCAGGAAACTCAGCATTATAGACACAAGTGCTCAAATCTCTTCAGCCCGCAATTTCCGCCTCGCCTCATTCAGTGTTATACAACATCCGTTTCTTTTTAGTCTGCAGGTGGCCTTTAAGGCTTCCCCACGTATGAAGACACAAAGTGACGGTAAGTGCAGCGGTGCATCAAGAGCACTATACACCACTAAAAAAATTAAAGTTAAATAAAGAGGCTATAAAGCAACCATTTTGGTTCTTTACTATCGAAACCAGACACATGTCGTATCGTGGATCCCCACTTACAACTCGTGGACCACAATATTTTTTAACGCCAACGTAAATCCCGTCGAGTCTCCCGTGGGCCCCTGGCGGTCCACTTGGACCATTTTAGGAATCACTGGTTTAAAAAATGCAAAAAAGATAATAGACTACGAAAATCAGTCTTGTAAATTTTAAAGAAAATTAACCCATCATATGAGTTCGTAAATGGTACAAACAAAAGTTAAAAAATATCTGATTTTAATATAAAATTCGGAACTTTGGCTTTCAGTCTTGAAAGAAGGATTTATTTACTCTCAGTTACTAGAAATGATACCCTCCAATTCTTAAGTTTATTTTCATTTCATTCGGTATCGATTGCCGTGGAATGAGCCTCCTACATTATTAAATTTTATTATTCGGAGTTTAGGATTCCCAGAGGATGATTAACTTGTGATTTAAAGAAATAAATTTAATTTAATACGGAATACACAATGAGTACCGATACGAGCGGGTATCGATACTTTAGGCCTTATATTTTTCAGGTATCGATACGTTTTTTCGATACTATTTCCAAGTAAAAGTGTCGATACCTGCATGGTATCGTTTCATCCCTACACATATGTGGTCATAGGTGAACGGTGCCACTCCCATTTTCCAAAAAATATTCTAATAGTTTTTAATTTAAATATTTTTTATAGGTCCCCGATAAAATTTTTTTTCGATGTGGAACAATCTTATGGGGTGAGAGCATTAAAATTCCGTCTTTACTTTTCCCTGTGCATTTTTGGACCACCCCAATATACATACATACATACATATGTGTACTAGAGTGGTTCAAACAATTTTTTTTTGGAAACTCATAAACGCTACCTCAAGATATTGTTATTTGTGATAAAAAAAGAGAAACTTGTTTTTTTATTTTGAAAAAAGTTTTCTTAGAGGGCGCGCAGGTCGATTTTTTTAACGCTGATGTTCTCAATTCTTTTATTTTCTTGACATGTTAAAATGGAGCTAAAAATATGGGTTTTACATATAATTACTCAGGTATTATTGGGGAACATTCCCTTAATTACATACCTGTCTTGGGCAGTTAGAATGGGCCTAGTGCCCGAAAATATACTCTCGAAAAGAGACTAGTAAAATTAAAACTTTGATACTGAACGATCTAGGCGTTATCATGGGTTGGACTTGTTACCAGAGGGTTTCTGGGGTTGGTGATTTGGAATCTGAAGTCAGTTTTTCAAAATTCAAAATGGCGGATCCAAAATGGCGATCAATTTTTTTTTAAATGGTTGAATTTGTTCGAAAACTGGCACTCGATAGTTTTTGGGGTAGCCGATTACGAATCTGAACTAAATTTTTTTAAATTCAAATCAAATTTTTTTAATTAAAATGGCGGATCCAATATGGCGATTTAATTAATAAAAACATTACTAAAATTAAAACGTTGATACTGAATGTTTTAAACATTGTCAAGGGTTGAAACTCGTTTCCAGTGGGTTTCGGGGATTGCTGATTACGAATCTGATGTCAGATTTTCAAAACTCAAAAACTCAAATCCAATCATTTTTTTTAAGTTAGTCGCCATTTTGGATCCACCATTTTGAATTTAGAAAATCTTACATCAGATTCATAATCAGCAAGCAAAGAAACCCACTGGAAACAAGTTTCAACCCTTTACAATGCTTAAAACGTTCAGTATCAGCGCTTTAATTTTAATATTTTTTTTAAATTAGATCGCCATATTGGATCCGCCATTTTGAATTAAGAAAAAAAATTGACTTCAGATTTGTAATCGGCGACCCCAGAAACTCTCGAGTGCCGGTTTTCGAACAAATCCAATCACTAATAAAAAAATT